TAGTAGATCAAAAGTTATTTAATATTAAAGATTTATAAAATATATATATAATTTATATATTATATATTTTATTATATGAATATATTTATATGCCACAGGTGTTGTATTATTACATCTTTACCCTATTTCGGAAATTAAATTATTGATAGTTGTATGACTATGATCGTAACGAAGTTAATTATGCAGAAAATAAACAAGTATATAAACAAAAAGCTTTTTAGTTAAAATAATCTCTTTGCATATATTTAGTTAAAATAACCTCTATACACATATGTATATATATAATATCAACAAAGTTCTTTGTATATAATATAAAAGAGAAAGTTACTTAAATTATTACTGTATTTAGAAGACACACAGATAAAACTACAAATCTTCACTTTTATATTGCTATTTTATAACTATTTAGTTTGACAACCCTTTATTTTATTTTTTTAACATTTTCAGAGTCAGTAATTTTCAAAATTGTGAGTACCAAGCTATTATCAAAGGTAGTTCGATCTAAGACTTTTGCTGGAGATTGTGTTAGAAGACAAACCGATGGCTGTTGAAAGCAGGCATGTTTTGAAGAATCAACTTGTTCTTGATAAATACATAGAATACAAACCTATAGAAAGCAGATTTTCAAAAATTTTTATCGAAGACAAACTTGTGACAAGTGAAAATATAAGGATCTCTGATAGCAAAACTATGGAAGGTAGAACTCTGAAATGTAGAAATACGAAAGTAAGTGAAAATATGAAGACAGTGAAAGGCAAAACTGTGGAGAGTAAAACTGTGGAATATGAAACTGTAGAATGTGAAAATATAGAATATGAAAATATAGGTGGCGAACCTGTGGATGAATTTATAGAAATTAATAAAGATTAGTTTAAAGTACTAAAATAATATGGTATAATATCACAAAGCAATTCGAATTCAATTTTATTTATTTTTTTTTTGTTTAAAGTTTTGGGAATTTTGAGCAGGAATTGAAATATCAAGATTTTAAAAATTATTCTTTAAGCCAACCTATAGAAATATCTGCTAGGATACATTTTGATTCTTGGTTGATTACAGAAAACTATATAAAGAAATTTAGACAGCAGAAGGGATTTGTAGTAAATTGTAATAGAGTTGAATATCTTAAATATCAATTTGATAAATCAAATAATCCTTTAGTTAAAAAAAGAACGCTCATATATGAGAATGCCAGAAAGTATAAGCCTAACAAGACTAAACCAATTAAACAACAGCATAATAAAGGATCAAAAAAGACAGATTATAAATAGCATATCAACTTAAGTAATCCGGAAGTTGGTGGTTTTGTGCATATTACTCTTGCACATCTTGTACACAATCATACCATTAATGCTAAAAATATAAGATTTGCTACAGCATTTTGAAAGTTTGATAAATCCATAATAAGTAAAATTAAACATGTAGTCATATATAGGTATTGTGATGCATATACAATAAGAATTTTGTTTCAACCTTCGTTTCCCAACCAACTTTTCCTTATACAAGATTTTATCGAATATAATTCAAAAAATTAAACATGAAAAACGAATAGTTGGATCTGATACTTCTAATTTACTAAAGTTTTTACTCAAACAACAAAAAGAAGATCCTACAATGTTTGTTCAGTCTTTAATAAATACTGATAGTAATCAATTGTGTGGGATTTTTTGGATGATAGCAAATCAGATTTATTATAGTCTAGGTATTCTGATATTATTTTACATAATAATACTTCAAGGACCAATAAATATAATTTTTCTCTATTATTATTTATTCTTGTTGACAATAATGGTAAATTACAATTAGATGCATAGGCTTTTTTAAATGATGAAACTCAGGAAAGCTATGAATAGGTTTTGCAACAAACTTTAGATGCTACTAACATAGAGTCTCAGGTTATAATGACTAATATAGATCTAGCAATAGATGCAGCGTATTAGATTATATATAAAAACTCATATCATGTTCACTATATATGGTATCTTTTTCAAAATTTACCTAAATAGCTTAAAGCCAAGCTTGGAAGTATAGATTATAAGGAATTTATTTCTGATTTTTAAAAGGCATGAAATTTGTTGTATATTGATATTTTTGAGTGTTGATTTTAATCATTACTAGATAAATATTCTTGTACTAGTAAATATTTGAATGATTCTATTTACTCATCCTGACAATCTTGGGCTAAGCCCTTTATAAGCAAAATATTTATAGCTGAGATGCAATCTATGCAATATATCAAATCTATTAATATACTTATATATAAGATGGTTGCATCTAGTTCTAATATATCTGAAGTAGCTGAAGTCTTAGAGCTTCGTATAGAAAAAGAGACATTAAATAAGAGTTTTATTGAACAGAAGCACAAGTCAATAGAACATCACCAATCATTTATTGTAGAAAGATTTTTTTCTAATATTAATAATGAAATTCAAAAATATTTCACATCACGAATTATTGAGAAAATTTATAAACAAATATGTAAATCTGTGTTTTATAAATGTGACAAGTTAGATATTAATTATGCTTTCATATTTGAAGACCAATTGGATTAAAGAGAATGTGAACTTAACAACAGTCAACCAGTATATTTTTTTTTTTGATATAATATTTGAGTATATTAAATTACAAATACATTTATTTAAAATCAAGATAATCAAGAAAAAAGTATAGAGGACATTGAAGATGTAGAAAACATTGAGGATTATTATGATTTTTGATAAATATATTTACAATCACTTTTAAATTTAGTTTCAAAAGAGTCGATTAAAGAAATCTGGAAAATTATTTCATATATGGTACCAAATTCATACCAGCATATTATTATGTTTAATGATAGTACACATTTGTGTACATGTTTATTATTAGTTTCATACAGGATAGTCTGCTATTATTACTTTAAATTAATAGTTAAAAATTTAAATGCTTTATTTCATATGATATTGATGCTAGCAAGATAGTTGCATGATAATGTTTAGAAGCAGGTTGATTCTATATATAGCAAACTATTTGTTAGCATATTATTACAAAAATATCAAAGTGAGAATAATATATGTAATCTTATTCCTAAACATCATTATAATATTCAAGAAGCTTAAGTTCAATATCATTTACAAAAAAAAATAGATTATGGTCATTTAATGGATTATTTTAAAAAGGTACTAAATTATTCATTGGAGGATAATGATCAAAATAATTTAGATGAACTTATTTTATCTTATATTGCTAAAAAGGAGGCAATGCGGAATACTCAAATTCAACAAATGTGCACTAAAGAAAATTAAGCCTTGGTTAGTATCAAATTATCTGATAGGTATATTTATGATGTTGATTCTATTAAAGATCTAGTAGTATATAGAAGAAAAGATAAACTTCTCAGCAAAAAATTAAAAGCCTCTAATGAAGATAAAAGTAATGGCAGTAATAAGAAAACACAAATAGTATTTTATAATGATGTTGATATTGATCATAGCGAAATTAAAGCAAATAGATGTAAATATAGATTGTGCTATAAAAAAGATCATTATGCTCCCAGATGTTCTAATAAGAAAAATGAACAGGTATAATTGAATATAGCAGTAATTAGTATTTCAACTATTATTAGAGGATTTTAGTTTATTATACATATAGATAAGTTGACAATTAGCTTAGAATCTTGAATTTAGGTCACAATACTAATATGAAGAGAAATTAATAATTAGCAATAATGAGAATAGTCTAAATTTTGTTTTAGGTTCATTATATATTAATTAAAATAAATGATATAACATTTTTAAATATATATACGAAATGTATTTATTTATCTAGCAAAAAATGTTTTTAAACAATATAAAGGTTAGTATAGGGTGAATATATGTATATATGCATATATGTATATATATGCATAGATATGATACTGTTGGCAGTTAAAATTCAGATATGTGACAATTGAAAATTTAACTATTTTAGAGTTCTTACTTTTGAGTTTGCGATTATTAGTAAAATCACCCAATTGTTGAGTTATGGGTGATTTTTAACAAAATAAATTCTTCTAATTGATATCAAATAAAAATTAGTGATTGGTTAGTTTACTAATCTTTTCTAGTATCACTTTCAAAAAAGTATAAACATGTAACTATATTTGCAATGTACTAAAAAATCTTCAAGCTCGTTTAAGTTAGGGTTAGCATTTGTATTGAGGTTAGATGTTAGCAAGTTAGATAGTAAAATTACACAAGGAAGACTTTTAGTTAGAGCACTAAAAGTGGTAGTACCCTAGCTATTCTGAAAAAAGTGTCAGACAAATGAGATTCTACTCGAACCATGTAATGATTTATATAATCAAACCAATCAGCATTTACTATAGTATAATCAAATTTTCAAGATATTTTAACATTGTTTTTAAAAATTTAAATAAAGATAACTTGCTTACTATCTAGTCAAATTTGATAAATTTTTTTTTATTTTAATTCTATGAATATTTCGAATTAAAATATAACAAAATTTATTATATTTGGATTAGGTTATTGTCAAGATAACTTCATTTGAATAACAGCTGTCCCTAGTTATTAGGGATGAATTAAATTTGCTTAATTGTATTTTATTTATTTATAAATAATTTTTTCTCTACATAGAGCTGATATACATTGAAAGGTCAGAATGGAGTTCTTTTATCTAACACTAAACTATTACTAATTACTATACTACTTTAGATAGACTCTTCTAAAGAAGTGTTTAGACTTGGTGAGTAATATAATTTATTCCCAGATAGTCTATACTGCTTCGAATCTATGATCTCAAAATCTTTACTTTATAGAGACTGCTAGACAAATATTGGGCGATTTGATATTTTTTTTTTAATAAATTTTGTAGCCAAGATAGGATCCCGAGCTATACATAGATAGGTTAGAATTTATTTTTGTTTATTTTTTGACTATTTTTTTGCAGATCTTTACTATTTTTAGTAATATATATGCTTATTTTTAACTATTTTTATGCAGATCTTTTACTTTTTTAGTAATTTGTTAAGATTTTTTAAAAATCTTAGCTGTACATAGATTGCTCGGGGTCCTGCCAAGATACCTTGCTTTAGTATTATTGCTAAAGCTGCTGCCAATTTTTATCAAATTATTTAACTGTGGTTGTATTTTTTAAAATATTAACCAGGTTTTGTTATTCATAATTTTCACAAAAAAAGAAAGGCAGATTAGACGAGGACTCTTGTGAATTACCAGATCATTATGCTTTGTTGAATGACTTAAGAATAGCATATAAGAAATTGGTAAATTTTCTACAAGTTGGCAGTTAATTGGCTTCTTTTGGTTTAATTATAATCAATACTAATGTTTTGAGATTTTGAATTTCTTACATCATCCTAATTCGTTGTTCACAAGTTTAAAATAGTTTGCATATTGCTTTTTTAAGATAGGATTTTTTGTTCCAACTTATCTTACATATATAGTTATTTTCATTATAGCACTATTATGAATTAATAACTGGCTAAACATTTGCTTATTTTCTTCTACCTATATTAGAATAATTAAAAGCTAAAATTGGCTAAGTGCCTGCAAAAGTAATTAGATAACCCTGTAGAAGTAGAATGTCAAGATGCGGAAGTTGTATGTTAAAATGCAAAAATGATTAAGTAATTTGTTTAAAAAAGGAAAATTTTTTTTTTTTTAGTTATTAAGGCCGATGTTATGGAGCTTACTGCCTTTATTTGTGTTTTTAGTTAATGCATTACATAT